TTATACTAGCTTGTATTTACATGTTTAAACTTGCCGGATCCCGAGAGGCACACATGAGTGGTCGAGCTTTCTTACTCCTGAAGGACTAGTCCTAATTCTTCAGCGTGCTTCGATCTCTGTAAGTCCTTTTGAGTAATTCTTATCGAATATATTCTCTTTTTCCCGTACGTAATTGTCATTTCCTGCTTACATGCCGTTTGTCCAGGTCGAAGAGATGGCCGGGTTTGTTTATAACCCACTGACGGGGCGATGGTCTATCTCCGACAATATTAGTGTAAATTTCATTGCGTTTGGCACAAAAAACAGCTAATAAGTAACTGTATAACTATGTTTTTCACAAATTTTGATCAAGTCCTTTATCCTTGTTTGGCATGTCTTATGTTATTAATAAATATTCATCAAATTATATCCAAAAATCTTGGTGATATCTCAGATGTCATGTCCAATCAAGCTTCCCTTTGGCAAATTTATAAATGATGTAGATAGTGGTGGCAATGGCATCTACGAGACGAGCTCGAGGGTTTTTTTTTTTTTTTTTGATTTTTTTTTTAGTGTTCTTCTCACATTTTTTATGAGCCCACGAGCCATGGCTCGTGGGCGAGCTACGCTCGTCAAAACAAAACAATCTACTCGGGCTCGTCTCTTGACGAACTCGAGTGGCTCACGAGCCTCTTTTTCACAAGCCAAGCAGTCGAGTTGACAAGCTACTCGGCTCGATTGTCACCTCTAGATGTAGAAACAGGAATATAAGTGGGTCATGCGAAATTTTTACACATGGTTGAACTTAACGTTTGACTTTGGCTGAAAATACTTCAAATTCGACATCACCCCATTAAACATATATGATTATTTTGTCCATGTTGGAAACCTTAAATTCGATGATGGCCTGTTGAACGTTGATGTCGATTAATGATTATTATATTAGTGTAAACTATAGATTAAAAAAAAAATCGATTTTTATAAGAAAATGTTTTATGGTAGACCAAAAATTCGAAGTCACTCATTTTCATATTCTACTTCTCATTAGAAAGGTCCCGACAAAGTTAAAATAGGAGGCTGACCAGAAGGACAGAGATTAGTTATGACTAAATTATTCACAAATATACTTTAATGACCTATTTAAATTTTCTCTTGAACTTCAATGACCATTAGTGAAATTAACTCTTTTAAATTTATTAATAAATAAATAATCATGAGAAGTGACAGCACAGGCCAGCGGGTCTAGATCAATAATATTCAAAAACTTCCCCGATCCCTCCTCTTCCTCCAGTGTCGTGTCCAGATTCCCACCGGCGATTCTCCGACTCATCTGCACTCGGACCACGGCACGTCTCTCTCTGTGAATATCTGTGTTTCTCCATCTATATGTATGTATGTGTGTATATATCCCTAGTGTATTTGATCTTTATAGGTTCGTGATCTCATGGTCTTTGTTATTTTTTTTTTTTCCTAAATGTGATGCTTTTGAGTGCTTGGGCGTTTTCATTAGTCAGAATTCTGTAAAAAATTGGAGTGTTGAACAATTTGTTGGATCTGTGGGTTACACTTGCACTAGGTCTGAATTTCCATTATTTTATTAGTAGCTTGTTTTCCTTTCCTTTTAGGGATGATTAGTAGGTTAGTTGTTACTTGATTTTGCATGTTTTATATACACCAAATTCTTCAATTCTGTTCAAGGTTCATGAGATTCTTTTTTTCTCTAAAATAAAATTTCAGCTTTTTGTTAGACATTGGGATTAGAAGCGCTAATACATTTCATGTATTTTTTGATTTGTAACATAAATTTTAGTGTGCTAAAGAACGAGGTATATTTCTTCGACGATTAAAACAAACACATTGATTTTTTTTCTTTTCAGCCAAAAACTTGAACAAAAATGTCTGGACAGACCCAGCGTTTAAATGTTGTTCCTACTGTTACAGTGCTTGGAGTTGTGAAAGCCCGGCTTGTTGGGGCTACAAGAGGCCACGCTTTGCTCAAGAAGAAAAGTGATGCTTTGACTGTTCAGTTCCGGCAGATTCTCAAGAAGATTGTATCAACTAAGGAATCAATGGGAGAAGTCATGAAAAATTCGTCCTTTGCGTTAACAGAATTGCAAAATATGTTGCTGGTGGGAACACAAGCACATTGTCCATGAAAATGTTTCGAGCGCAGTCCTTAAAGTCCGATCCCACACTGAAAATGTTGCTGGTGTAAAACTTCCAAAATTTGATTATTTCATTGATGGAGAGACTAAGAATGACTTAACTGGATTAGCAAGAGGTGGGCAACAGATACAGGCTTGCCGTGCAGCTTATGTGAAATCCATTGAATTGCTTGTAGAGCTTGCTACACTGCAGACATCATTTTTGACCCTCGATGATGCAATTAAGACCACTAATCGTAGGGTCAACGCCCTGGAGAATGTTGTGAAGCCTCGGCTGGAGAATACAATTAGTTACATCAAGGGAGAGTTGGATGAATTGGAAAGAGAGGATTTCTTCAGGCTGAAGAAGATACAAGGTTACAAGAGGAGAGAGGTCGAAAGACAGCGTTTAGCTGCCATAGCATATGCGGAGGAGAAAGTTGCCGAGGAAATTTCTTTGAAGAAGGGTATTTCTCTTGGTTCGGCACATAACATGTTATCCCAGGCTGCACAAAATGATGAAGACATAATATTTTGAAACGGAGGTAAGATAACTGTACCCAATAATGTTGTGTAGCTTTGCTCCATTGATTGATTCTTGAGAAGGAAATGATTTTATTACTAGATAAACCGGACCAGATTTTTGTGTTTTGAAATAAGAGCTTTATGATCGCGTGAATTTATTTAATCTATTTATGAACAGGGCCCTTATCCTGCTGTTGTGAGAATATTATTTGGCTTATGGAGTATTTCTATAATTTATAGTGTCATTGAGCCATTTTTTACGTCCATTGAATTTTATGTCACTGTTCAAATATTCTTTCTGGTTGATGAAACCCATATCATGTTTGTGGATTACTTGGTCAATTACCTCATTGCTATAGTCTCATAGCTAGTTTTACATCTGTATTGGAGTAACCAGGTTACTAGCCTTTTTGCAATAATGTCCGGCTTAATTGTGGGCCTGTGGCATTAAGCTCCATCCTATTGTTACACAATTTCAGATTATTGTGCACTTATTCTTTTAACATTCTGAGAGAGTGATTCGCTCCACCTCATTGGATCACTGGCATTGCCTTGTGGACTACTCGATTCCCTTTGCCAGATTGAAGCAGCAAGAGCCACAATTGACAAATTGGTGTATAGCAATTCAGTGAGCGACAGATTTATGAATGAAATGCCACAACGTACAAATTAATTTGACCATAAACAGAATATTTTCGACTAGTTTTGGTGGGTGTGCCAAGCCCCTGCATTAGTGCAATGCTCGAAGGCCCAAGTAGCAAGCTACTGACTGTTGAGCTGATGCTTCGATATGGGACAAGAGAAGGGACAGCCTTCTCTTATTCCTGTCTTATTCATTCCTTTTCTGTAAATAAAGAATCAATGGGATTAATGGCTACCAACATTTTGCTGAATAGTTTTCAGCGGTCTTGGGGTGAGAGAAATCCAGTGGCTCATTGAGCGCAAAGATGTCCCACTAGTAGATTCTTCGATGGTTTTGAGGAATAGAGTTGTCCCAAATCATATTGGTGGTTTCATGTCAAATGTTCCAGACGTTCGTTGGGAGCTTTCTCTCGGAAGTTTATAGAAGCTTTAGCACTACGCAAACGATTCATTGTGCTAAGGTCCTTCGATGTCTTTCTTATTCCACTAGCTAGGATCAAATTTTCACAATGTTTGTTTTGTTATTACAACTTTCTTTTTTGATGTCAGAGACTAGAAGCTATGCTCAAATTCTCATTGGATCTCGATTGTTCTTAACAGTGATGTCTATTCATTCAAGTCTTTGGATAGCTCCACTAAATCTTCAATTAGGAAATTCTTGTATTCTGTACGTACATATTCATGTGGCTCGGATGAGTATTCTTGTTTATATCGCCACACCCACACTTTCTTGTTCCTATTAACATAGAAGTGGACTGTGACTCCTTATGATACGTTCTTGCAACTTTGTTCGATTCATCTGCTAAAAATATAAATAGCATCTCTTCAATAAGCAGAAGTACATAAATGTCAAAAGCAAAATTGAAGGGATCTTGAACCTTTAAGCATGTCATAAAAAGGTAATAACGCAAAGGTAAACCAGTGACTAATTAAACATTCTTATTCATTTTGCATTGAAGACCCAGTGACTAAGTAAACATTCTTATTCATTTTACATTGAAGACCTGACAAGAACAAATTTTGCTAACAAATAAGCTACTTATACAATGAAATGCTCAAAAAAATGACTTGCTGCAGATTACACCCCAATCTTGTGCACCAAACATTGTTCTTCAGATGCACCCGGTGGTAACGGAATCCAATCCCCCATATATGTACCACGATGGCTTTATGAAGCAAGAAAGAGGTACTATAGGAACCTTTTGCAACATACAATCAGCAGGTCAACCGCCAGAAAGAATTACATCTAAAATTCTCTATGTTATAAATAAGAGTCGATTCAACAACTAAGCTTAATGAGTTGCTTTTGGTTCTTCAACATGCAATACTGTGTGATGATTAGCATGTCAATTCGTCTGCTACCAATGGAGGGACAGCAGAGGAAACCTGAAGTGTCCGTTCGAAGATATGGCCTACTCTAAGCAACTTCTCCTGCAATTAATTTATGATTACTAATCACCGAGAAGAGAGGATCAATGCATATGATAAATTAGTAAAAATGCTAGAAGAGGCTTGATAATGCTAGAACTAAAAATGTATTAGAATGTAATCTCGAAGCTTGATGTGATTGACCCTATTCATTAAGAATCTCGAAAAAAGACAAACTTAAGAAAGAAGAATATACACCCACCTCACCAAACGCTGCTCCAATCATTTGAAAGCCTGTTCAGGCAGGCCTGCGGACCCCCCTTCAACAAATCCACACGGTAAAACCAGAGCAGGCAGACCAGCCAAGTTCACATTGACCTTCATCATGGAGAAAATTATTATAAAAGATTGATATCAGCTCATGAGGTCTTATGAAAACCCGAATTAGATTTATTCTCTGGAGCATTATTTTAATCAATCATGCTTGGTGTACACTTCTGCTTCTAATGTTCATTCGATGTCTTCAATAGTTCAAGCTACCGATGTGAATTCATAAGATGTCAAAACTAGATAAACAAAGGTAGAGATCTTCTAAGCATTAGAAGAAATCATACAAGAGAAACATGAAGAAAGTGTTGATATAGTTGAAAAGGTTCTGGAACATATAAAGCAAGAAAAAAGCATGAAGAAAATATGGACAAGTTTATAAAAGAAAACAAGGCTGAATAATGATCTTGAGCAACCTATAGAGGTCTTCAATAACTTCCATCAAACGATTGATTAGCAATTATTCCAGACAGATTAGAAGTAATGGAAGAATCGAATTTAACCCACATTACCTCATTGTTTCCAACAGATTGCATGAAGTTGAGAGATTTCTGAGATTTTAAGCCTCAAAAATGCTACATCAACTGTTTTAGTTTCCTGTGACACTTCAAGGACGAGTTTTCTCAGGCTGTAGAGGAGATGCAGAACATTTCACTAAACGAAGGCACAATCTTGAATTCTGCGATTAGGTATATTTGTGACAATTGTAAGCGTTTTAGAATGGCTTTTGCTGGAATTTTATTCTATCCATTGTGTTTTAAGGTGCAGGAAATTTGATCTTTTATTAATAGTTGGCAAGGATTATATCTATCTATTGTCTATGGGCATTTTTTTTTTTTGAAATTTTAATCGTGCTGCTTGTTTAATTAGAGTCCTATTGATCTAGAAAAGTCTGTTGTGGTCATTGTTTCTGATTTTTGTGTCTCTCAGACAATATTTCATTAATATCATTATTCTTGGGGACCATACAGCAGCACCTAATCATCCCCCAAACTCACCGAAACTGAATCCTTCCTTTGGAAAATAATCCACCTCACTATAAAATGCAATAGATGTGTTTCTCTAATGCAACTTACAAAATTTAATTTTTATCTGTTCTGATTTCAAATTTTATTAAACTCAACTGAAAATTTTCCAACAAAACAAGAAAAACTGTAAGAATCACACAGTACCTTGGTAGTTTGCATCCAATGGGCTGCCATCTGTATTTCATATAATCTTTATCTGTTCTACCATCTTTGGCAATCGAACTCTTATTCGATGAGGGGACATTCTGTCGAATCGTAAAAGAGGATATGAATTATCAAAAACCCAACTCCCTTTAAAAATATCACACCCTATTGCTGCAAATACTCCATGTACATGAAGAAAGAAGGAAATAAGAGAGAAAAAAATTGCAGCAACAAAAAACCTATCAATGAGAGAGAGAGAGAGAGAGTAATGTACGAACATTATAAGTATTTATAGGAGCATGTTTAGGTTAAGCTTAAGAAGGGAAAAAAGTAGTTTCTATATATAAGTTACTTTTATCTTATTTTAAAAGCAATTATTAACTTACCTTTTGAGCTTAAGTATATATATAAAAGATGAGTGTAAAATGGAAAAAAATATTGAGTATCCAACAAGTAATAAAGAAATACAGTCTGTTGAATGGAAAAATAAGTAATCAGCTGCTTATGATTTTTTTTTTTTAAAAAGTAGCTATGGTAATATTTCAATATTGGTTCGATTCTAAAAATTACATACAATCAAATGGTTCCATTAAAAAAAATATTCGAAGTTTAATGGAAAGTTCCGATTCTTGAAATATTCGAACTGACCTACCCGACGTCTACCCTTATGTTGAAGTCTTACTAATTAGAAGTTATTGTGCCTTTCTTAACTCACTTAACAGGAGTTTAACGATAATTCATGCCAACTAATTATCGCGATCAATATTTTCAATAGTTATCATATGTGTTGAATTTGAACCTTGATTTTGTTTAAACATTGTATGTGTCAATCTA